AAGTTTAAACTTGGGTCAAAACACTTGGAGTTCGCCCAAGCCAAAAACCAAGCCATCCGGCGTTCGGCTTTCAGAAACCGGCATTCGGCTTTCGGTTTTCGGCATTGGTTTTTGGCGTTCGAACCAACCAAGTGGTTTTCAACTTTTTATGACTGGTTTTTACCTCTGGGCATATTTAATTAGCTCTCCAACAAAAATGATTCAAAAACCACTCTCCGTTTTTTGTCGTTTAGTAAAAACCATGCGAAACGGCACAAACTTGGTTAGCCGTGGTTTTCAACTAATTGACGTGGTTTTCAAGATGTTTTACTTGTTCTCTTAGAAAAATGCAATAAACAAATGTTTTCTAAACTTGGTATTTATTTTGGAGAACTTGCATTTTTGACATCGGCTAACGGCGTGACTAAACCAACCATGGGTCTGGCTAAACCAGCCCAACAGCGATGTTGAGGTAATCAACAGCGCTGTCTGGACTGGGTAGCTAAAAACATGGTTTGGCGTTAAGTCTTCCAACAGCAATGTTGGTCACTAGACATCGCTGTTGAGCCAAGGTTGGATTTCCAGAAACTTCTGGAACAGCGATGTAGGCTTCCCTAAAGCGCTGTCCAACCTAAGCCAAAAATATAGTGCATTGGCAGAAAGTTTTTGGACAGCGATGTTGACCCAGCAACAGCGCTGTCAGGCCAAACTTCCATCTCCAAAGGCAGACCTAAACATCGATGTTCTAGTATAGAACATCGATGTAGAGACCTGACCGTTGGAAGGAATTTAAGGCTAAAACTTTCCTTGTTTGGAAGTCAACAGCCAAAACAGCGATGTAGTGTTGGAGTTGTGCCCTGATGGCCAACTGTTTATCGTTATTCTATCATGTATAGGCAGATATAATATGTTTACACATCTCATGCTAATGTAAACAAATATTATATTCCTAGATTTATATTTAAAAGATGTTTATCAGATAGTGTTCTTCTGCTGATGAGACTAACATCTTGAAATAAATATTTATCTGAATGTCCATAGTCGAGTATTAACGAGAGTGGGATATCGTTAATGCATGTGAGACTAGTGTGTGTTGGATGTTTGACTTAGTCTCATAGTCAATGACAGTGTGTTCGCATCCGCACATGGGCAGATATTATCTAGAGATAATAGGATGCCGGACTGACCCATCCTAAAGATGTTGCTTGAACTTTTAGTTCATGCTCTAAATATCTTTAGCGCGACCACGAGTGTAACTATCCTTCGACTTGAAGTATTACGTTTTCTGCATATGTGAACCCGCATACTTTGATGCATTGTCCTAAGCCATATGAAAGAAGGATGGTATACATGCTTTGTTTTGGGTATGCCGCAGCGCGTATTCAGAAACGTAGATTACGTACATAGGATTTGTCACTACTCTTTTTAAA